AAAATTTTAGTTTATGGACTATAAGATAATGAAGTTAATAATTAATGGAATGTAATTACTACCTTGCATTAAGGGCATCACGCTCTATGACCCCCCATATTACATAAAGTCAAGCTTTTGCAATGTAGATGCTATCTCAGTATGAACGTACGTTGTAAAGAAAAACTTCAGAGTGATGTAAATTAATTGAATGATTTAAAACATTATCAAGAAGACACATTTATACAGAGATTTTTATTCACGAAATTTTTATTGTTGTTAAAATTATTTCAAATAAAATATAGGATGTCAAGATATTTATAATCATTGTATGACGATTCATTGTGCATAATCCGAGCAATACAACGTACATGCCTGCGTGCTCTCTTTTCTTCCTCTTCCGTGTCCCATCCTATCTTCTTACTTACATCAACACATACACTTACATGTACTATAGAACCACACAGGCAGTGAAACAAGTCGGTAGCTTAGAGCTTATCCCAGCTGGGGCGGTACCCCGCTGGTGGGAGGTTTCCTGGTTGGGAAAAACTCCACAAGCTGACGGGTAGGTCAGCGCCGGGTCTTCCATAGCAGGGGAAGATAACTACCACCTCCCGTGATAAGACACGCACTTAACTTACGGGGCTAATGCCCTTAGCAGTAGACGTGCCCGGGATCTCTAATTAATCAGTCAATCAATTGGAGAAACCACGAAAAACTACCGATTAGAGCAGCTGGTCACTAGAATTCTCCTCCAAGCGACTGAATTCTTGCTAGCTATGTAGTTACTATCGAAAATACTACCATTGTCGGGACTCGAACCCTATGACCTCCCGATCAGAGACAGTGCAGTGACATCAAGTGGTGCCCTGAGCCACTTAAGCCGGTCTTTGACTTAAGAGTATTATCAAAAAATGCTCTATGTAGTTTTGCCGTAGAAGAGTTCCGCTGTAACATAGTTATCACGGGCAAATGACACAGAAATATTTTATAAAAATGCAAATTATTATTCGTTTTTCTTTTATTACTTAGTTTGTGTATTTTCACTGAAATAATAACATTATTTGCATCGGGTTTAATCCATTCTATAAGCTACATACTTGGATGTGTTGATAGCATAGATGGAAAAACAAGGTAATGATCTAAAATTCACCAGGTTAACGAAGTTTTATTGTACCATCTTTCTGTCATAAATAAAAGAACAATTATAAATTCATCATTACACAATGACAGAGTAAACTATACGTACACAATTCACTTTCATTTGTGATTCTCTTTGGACAGTCAAATATTTTATGGTTTTACCACTTTTCAAGAAGTGAAATCTTTTACATTCCCGTATACGTACGTATATACCAAGTATTATAGTGAGTACAATACGTTGTATAGGGAAAGTTGCTGCGGAAAATCGATTGAGAGATTTCAACGGAAATACACTTTTTGGGGTCCCCTGATACCGAAAAATATTTTTTTTTAAAGTCTGTTCATCTGTCTGTCCGTCCGTCTGTTCGTCCGTCTGTGCGTCTGATATATGTGAACAACACTAGTGACTCAACTATACGTACGACATTTCCAAATTTAATTAACTCCTGTAGATCTAGCCTGTTCCGATATTTTGAAAAACATTTATTAATTTTTGGGAGTTGGAAACCCTTGTATCATATACAACTTTTTTTCAAAAGTGACTACAATTTTTTCTTTAAATTTCTTATTAGAATAGAGTGAAATGCATGTATAGAGGTGGCAGAGGTCTGTTTTTCACTGTTAACTCAGAATTTTTGAAAATTGTAAAAATATTATTTTTTCGGCTACTTCCTACAACTACAATATAAAGATAGGGATTTTTTCTTAAAATTACATTTCTTGAGCGTTATTAATTATTTTTTTTAATCGTGATAGTTTTTTAAAATTACTTAGTCGTTTTCGCTCAATATTGCGTATCACTTGACACTTGAAACACCAACAACGGTCTCTGTAGCAAACATAAGCGTTAACCGGGCTAGGTTCAGTAAGCGAGGCTTCAGGACGTGTAAACGAATAGGTAGCTGGATACTTAGTACTTACTTTGAGTTTGTAGTACACTAAGAGCACGGGTAAAGGCCGACTGTGGTTTTCTGCAAAACATGATGTATGTCATTTCTTCAAAACATAATGTCTATTCCCAAGTACGCATGGATCAATTAATTCTTCCGCAGGGAACACATTCAGAGAGTAAAATGAAGTGACCGCCACATTTGCAGTCGCTTTTCGGTGTTGTTTTGCCAGAAACAAATAATTACGATTTAGATAATTGAAGAACAAAATTAATGTATACAAAATGGAAAAATCGATAAACGAAATCAGAAATTCGCCAAACTTATATGTAACTCAATACTGTCGCTATGAGATTTCATCATCTTATAAGCGTAAGCGTTGTGCAAAAGCTCTCTTGAGCTTCACACATTATTCGATGCTGTCAGATGGCCGAGATCGTTAAGGCATAGTGCTGTGGAAATCGTAGAACGAAAGATAGCGAGTTCGAGTCCCGCCTCAGGCATCGTTGCATTTGTGTTCGTTGTTTTACCCCTTATCATCACTACATCATATCTTCACAGCTACCATACCGTTAAACTCTCTTATTCTCTGATTGAAGATATCTCTTTCTCTTGGTATATGACGTTTGTAAATTAAATTCGGTCCTAAGCCCTCATCGGCTAGCACACCTTTCTTTTTCCAGGCGTTTCTTTGCGATTTAAGATCAATTCTGGAACATTATTTCCGCTTAAGGGAGCGGAGGGGCATGTCACATTTATGTTATTAATTAATGTATTGCCTAATGTAAAAATTATAAAATTATTGTTTTAATTTTATATTAATAAATGTTTTATTTCATCACTAAGCGAAAGAACAGGCGTGGTGCTCTGAGTCTCATCCCATTAATAAAGTTGTAAATACTGTTATTATTATTATTATTATTATTATTATTATTATTATTGTTACTTTTGTTATTTTTGTTATTATTGTCATTATTATTATTGTTATTATTATTATCGTTACTTGTTATTAACGAGTGAATGTGCTACTTTTTGGAAACCCACTTTGTATGGTTCTCTTCAGCAGCATAATTGCTGATAGTCTCTTTTAAATATCAGACACTCAATAAAACCCATGAGCTGGTATCCACAAATATGTATTAGAAATTGAGTTCAAACTCTAAAGGTAAATTAATATGGAATATCCAAAATGTTCCCCTCTCACCCTGTCTATCGGTAAAAACCCTTTCCTATTTTCAACACATACAATTACGTAGGAGAAGGATAACATAACATTCGTTATCTAAAACTTACTAATTTCCAAATATCGCCCTTGCCTTGCTGCCATACGCAACCTGAAAAGCTACAGGATGCCCTGAGCGAGAGAACAAGGCGAGTCGTCGCTATCTGCGGCAAGTGGAAGAACTTGACGATACGACCGGTGATGTGACATCGCCTGTCTGCCCTGTACGTTATGGTCGGTGAGTGAAGGACAATAGCGGTTGCAACTCACACAGCAGACCAGGTCATGGCGACATGATGCAAGAAGTTGAAGCGATACACTCTTCGGCCTAACTCGCTAAGGCAGAAGTAACCACGTTAGCACGGTATGGGGGAGTACAGGTTTATTTATTTCATTTGATTTATTAGTCAAAGAACAATAAAAACTGTATGTGACACATGGTGATATGGGGTACATTCCCAGTACATGTATAACATATGCGCAGCATGTACTTCCTTTAACAGTCGCGTATCAATTAGAGGGAACGACCACCCCCAGTAAAGTATTTTACTTTCTCGTTTACATACGGATATTTGGAGTAATTTACGTATTACAGTGAAAGCTAAGTAATACCGTCAGTGCTCGCGGCAGGTGTATGTCAATTCAGTATACTGTCGCTATTTACTTTGGTAGAGTGTGCCATTCCAGTTCCGCTGGTCCCGAGAGGATCGTCAATATAGGCTCCGTTCTACCTAGCCTTAACGAATTCAACACAACTTGTATGCATGCATTTGGTGTTATTGGGTACACTATTTTACTTTGCTGGCCAGCTAACGGTGTCCCTCTCCCCTGGGCCTAGTTTAATTCCCATCGCAACTAGCAAACTCAACCTGCCTGACCTTTACTTCGCTACACAGTTTCAGAAATCTAGACATTTTAAAAGAAAAGCTTGAACTATATTTTTGCCGCGAGCGAGATTCGAACCCAGGATCATATCACCGAAAGCTGGTACATTGCACATGAGCCGCTCCAGAGACGTACTCGATTTGTGATTTTACTAAAAAGAAAGAAATTCTTTCACTTCACACACTTTCCTCGTTCACGACTGATCTTCTGAGATCTTTACAGTGAATTGATATAATCATCGATTTCTAAAATGCTGAAGCATGTAATTCAGTGATGTACTTTCTATTTGAGTACCTGTAAATGCTTCTTGTATGTACAGCATGACAATTCCATAACTGAAATATATAAAAAGCATAACCACGAAACGCCGGAAAATTTATCATAGTGAATTGTTGATTTTTCCTCTGATAATTGCTCGTTCAGTCAGCTTTAGTGTAACTGCAAGGCTTACTTCCATTTTGGGAAAAGGTAGACTTTCCTAGCAAATACCAAGGTACAGGTGGATGAATTCAATTAATTTGTGTTCCGATCCAGGAGCTCAAGTAATCAGTTCGATTGAATGGAGTTGTTCCTGTTCCTTTCTGCATATGATCTACGAACTGTCATCACGTACCGAACGTAGCTTGATTAGCGACGTCAAGAGCCGAGTTACTCCGGACGTTTTTGTACTCATCGCCTTGCTAGAGCAGGATCTAGAACTACTTACAAAGCAAGTTGCGTGTACTGCAAGTTACTTTCCTTTCACTCCTGCTACATCTCAGAGAAATCTGCTCACGTTGATTCGTTGCAAGGTTGATTCAGCGTGTAAAACGTTAATCTACATACTACTGGAAATAAATTTGAAAACTGAAGCAATGTTTTCCCATTTATTATATAAACAGAAACCGGATGAAAATACAATTCCACAAAATGATAGAAGTAGAGAGGAGGAGAAGGATGGATGGGAGGGAGGTAACAAAGCGGTATAACCAGTGAATGTGAAGGAATATTTTTTTCTTAAAACGCAAGAAATCGTTTCATTTACATGAATTATTTTCAAAAAGTAAATTAGAATTCATTAGAATGACCACGAACATGCGTGCATATCTTGTTAAGAGGAGATCGCTTTTCAAGTATTGACTGCCGAATTTTTGGCTGTTTTTCTACAACTGGGTCATATAGCGACCACTGTGAATGTTTTAAGTAAGGGGAACTGTAAGAGGAACACGTATGGAAAACACGACCTCTCACAAACATCCATACCCGAGGCGGGATTCGAACCAATACATTGTTTTCAACCAATACAAGGCGAACACCGCAAAACTACTCTCACAAACGGATTAAGAACAAAGCTTGATTTTTCCTTCCTCTTCCTTGGTCATATCCTTCACCCTCACACACACTTACATGCACTACATTACCATATATGTCGTGAGCTGCGATTTTGTAGCTGTGCCCCATTGGAGGGAAGTTTATGAAGGGAACCCCCGCCCCCAAAGCCGACGTGGTGTAGGTCGCGCGCGATCTCACTATCCAGCAGGGAATGAATCACCGCCACCTCCCGGGATGAATAGCTCACTACCCTAACAGAACTAATGACCATAGCAGCTGACGTGTCCAGAAACATTAATATATAAATCGAGTTTCCCTTGCTTTACTTGGCTTTAGCTGTGTTACAAAATGTGTAAACCGATCCAGCTCTCCCAGCTACCCTATGATGGATATAACGGAAGAATTCCACGTTTTTACATAAATAAAAAAAACGTTGCGTTTACTATTTCTCGGTCTATTGCACCAAGTAAAGCGTTTGGCCTTTCTAATTGGTGATGTGCTAGTACGGACAATGCGATTTGCATGACGAGCGATTATACAGACCCTGCTACCGTATGATACAACTGAAGAATTTGAGTAATTGGGCACTTTTAATTTAAAATTTAGTATTTATTTTTCCCCAACATTGTCTTCACATAAATCTCTTGGACTAAACGATGTGTAAAAAGATGTCGGCATAATGCTTTATGCCATTATACCATCTCTCGTATTTATGCTTAAGTACGAAATTACGTTCAACAGTGTTCCAAAATTTGGAAAATTTTGAAAACAACTGACAGAGTGTTAAAATCAAAGAGGGTATGTTATAGTACATACGCGGATTCTTTAACGTCGACACAGCGATCTACACATACCGCCATCTGTCGCAGTTGATTATTGGCCAGTCGGAAGGAACGGCAGGAAAAATGTATTTGTAGGCTTCCGCGGCCGAAGTCACTGGATACTTGGTTGTCCGGGATGAGCCGCGTCTCAGTCAATCGAGCTGACGTTTCGGCCATCGTGTTGTAGCAGTTTTCAGCTCTGTAGCTCTGAAGAAGGCCACAACACGATGGCCGAAACGTCAGCTCGATCGACTGAGACGCGGTCATACCGGACAGCCAAGTATCCGGTGAGAAAAATCTCAAAAATTAATTTTTTTGAGATACATCGCTCTGATTGGGGCATTTTTTTTGTAAAGTTAAACACTATTAGTTTTAATTTCGCATGTGGAGTAGCTCTACTAACGATGAGCTGAACGGACGAGCGGGGACAGAAAAGGTCCAGCAGCATGGAGGGGCCGAAATGCGACATCGGGGCGGGGGCGGACAGAGGGGAAGCTTTCTGCGGTAAGTCGCCTCGATTCTTCCTCGCGCCACTGCCGCCGTTTTCGGCCAGCAACAAAGGCGTATTGTGCACGCGCGCTCCGCGCCTTTGTTCGCGAAGGCATTTAGCGGCGCGGAGGTGGCGGAACCTGGCGGCGCCGGAGGTTTCCCAGCCCACCCCCACCCCACCCACCCACCCACCACACCACCGCAATCATCGGTCCCCTCGACAACTGCTTGCTGGTGCTGGTTTGCTCGTGCGACTTGCCTTCGCTGCTGGTTGCCATGTACTTCGGAAGCAAACAAACCTGTTTGGAAGAAATCAATTCAACTTACGCAGGTTTCGGCGAACTCTCGCATCCAAGGTTTGCAGTCCATTTTTGAAGTAGATTTTACGAGATTCCTCTGATGCACTTACATGGAAGGTTTATATTTTTCGAAGATCGTAAATTGGTTTTCTCTTCTAATATTTGAAAATAAATTTGTTGAACTATGAGTAAAGAGTATCGAGTCTGTAAAATTTTGTAGCAAGTCCAAGAAAGCAATTAAGTATGAAAGTCGTGTAAAATAAATTAAAATCGTTGCATTATGCATTTCTTTTTGATTTTGTGTCAGTTCCTTTCATAGGTTTTTTATTGTTTTCTCTTATGGCCGCTAGTATGTATTAAATAGTCGGTTCCAAGCTCAGAGTTTTAGCTGGCTATGGCACAGGGTGGTAAATGGGCGACCAACGTTCAGATATTTTAATTCATATATAATTTAAAAAATTCACGTGTTTTGACATTATATACAATAAATTGAATGTTTGATACTATAAAGGATGTTCGTAGTTTATCTTCTTAAAAATATACATGATGAAAATGATGAGGATTATTATTATTATTATTATTATTATTATTATTATTATTATTATTATTATTATTATTATTATTATTAACATCTTACTCGGTCCCTAAGCGTTGGTGAAGGAGGAGACTCTCGCCTTTATGCCGCCCTGTTTCCTGACCAAATTAAATAGTGATGTCATTGCCTTCCACTGAATCATAATAGGTGTGATAACCAGAAGTAAACCATGATAAGTGGTGAACTGTTATACGTTCATATATGTTATATATGTGTAGGTGTGCGCTGTCTAAAGCGAGAGGGTAGAGAGGGGCAAACATACTTTTAAGTCCCCTAAGACACTCTTTTCCCTTAGATTGTTCACAAATGATATATTTTACTGGTAAACAAAAACATATTACAAAGAGAATGAAATAACTTTAATGATTAAAATTAATCAATCAAATTGATTTTTTGTTAAGAACATGGTCAGGTGGTTTGACAGATGATTGACGAATGGCACGATTGACGGCCTAAAAAGGGGAGAAATCTGGAATTGACCATATTTCCGGAAAATAAATGTTTTACTAGGTCCAGTTACGAGTTTCCTTTCGAAATTTTAACGGGGGAGGGGGACTACGGCCTCAATATATTCCCTCTGTGCGCGTGCCTATGATGATATAATGTGGGATATTGATCAGATGAGACACTCGGTACCAACCACACCTTACATGACTATTGATCATGAATGACTCGAACACACAGTTTTCAGCCTTACGAAATTACCCACATCCCCACTATTCCCCTTAAGCAGGCAAATCCCAACCCCAAGAATCAGTCATCAAGAAGCATTGGGAATGAGAACGCATGGTGTCACGTCAACGCATCTGGTGGATCCAGTCTCCAAGACAGCCACCCGTTGTGTCGCCGATTTCGCTATTTATGATTCAGGATCTATTTCCAAGTTCGCTTACTAGTGGGTCATGAATCTCCTGAGTGTGTCTTTTCCCCTAGGTCATGAATTTCCTTCTCTTGGCTCCGCTTGTGCTACTACTTTAGCCGGGAATTTTCCATTTGGGTTTACGTGTGGGTTAATCTTGTTCGGTATGTCTACAGCTGCCCCATATTTTTTTGGTGCATACTTTTCTATCGAAGAGGCACATAATGGGGGAAATAATGTATCATTTGCAGATTCAAAGTAATTAGGATTTCAAATTTTACTCACGAGAAATAGTGATAAAAATCATAATTACAATATCTTAAAACTTCTACATTTCATTATAAAAAAATAGTAAATATTTCAAGCGTACTTCCTACTTCATGCATTGTTACTAATTACTTACATGTTTATCTGCAGTACATTTTGTTATTATACTTAACGTTGATCAAAAATATTTTTACTTTCTTGCCTCACAAGAGACAGTGTTGTAAACGTGCACCGGAATTCGGCGATTTTTTGACAAAAAATCTTATTCCCGCGCCATGGTAACGTACAAAAGAATAAATAATGTCCCTACATGCAGTAAAGTACTTGTCCTAACACATTTCGTAGTCAGAGTTCGTATTTTATGAATTCTTGATGCCAAAAAATCGAGTGGCAGAAGTAAATTGTGGAAAATACAGTATCCTAAAACTGCATAAATTAAATATATTTTGTTTTGTAATTTGTATTATTATAAAGTGGAATTTATTTTTCTAACTACTATTCCAACCGTCTCTCTCGAATACGGTGATTAAATAGGAATACATGGCAGAAAATAAAATTTTATTTTTCTACTGTCATTGAAAAGTTCTCTTTTTAATTCGATGCAGTTCCTTGTTTAATAATACAGCTTTATTATAGCACAGATCACAAATCACAAAAGTGTTTACAGTTGAGAAGTAACTGCATATTACTATGCCGAGACAATGCTTATGTAAGTGGCAATAAACCGCACATGCCCACTTGTTTCGAAAACTCAGAAGTCAATCAGATTTTGTAAGCCCTTTATAGAAACTGTATCGATCAATATACTCGAAAGAAATAAGGTCAGATGCTGAACTTTGTTAACATTTTTTTAATTACTTGAACCCTTACTTTAATCGTGTATTGCTCATTTGAAGTTGAATTGTGCTTGCAGTCTGGAATAGCTCAGGGTATGCCTGACGTCATTGCAGTGTGTCTGACAGGAAGGTTTTAGAGATAGAGACCAAACGGTGGCAGAATTTTTGACCCCAGCTAGTAACCTAACAAGTAGAATTCAGCGGTTTTGTGAGGGTTCGGACACCTGTCGCCCGCCCTGTATTTTCACAAAAGGCTAAGAGAGGCATCACCTTGCCACTTTGAATGATATTAATTTTCGTTCTGTGTAACAGCACTTAGTTCATCTCCGCATCGAATTCACATTACACATGCAAGCGGGACGTTGCGGGCGACTGAGAAAGTGCACTCCAGAGAAAGAACCCATTGTGCAAGGGAGCTGCGGTTGCGTTCATTTGAGGCAACCAGCGGTTCCTTTATAAGAACACTTCATGAAAGAACGAGAGAGTTTACAATCTCGTCGGTTAAAAACAGTTTTCCGTATGTTACGACAAAAGCAGAGCAGTGGCGTTGTGGTGCAGAAGGGCGGTCCGCCCCGCGTGGCACTATTGTAGCAGTGATACCAACTGAAAATGTTCATTTAAAATTTCTTGATATGAGTGATTTAATTAATCGTTATATAAGATAATTTATCAATAATTTTATAGTAAGATTTAATTTACATTGTTCTAAAGATATTAAGTTATTACGGTAAAGGGTTATAGCCTCGTTCAATTGAAATTATGTTGATAACCATTTTCATAAAACTATATTTTATTAGAATATTTATCATAACAAATTATTAGATGGCTCATGTATGCTGGCGAAGTATGCTAGATACGGTGTTATGAATTCATCAAACTCGCCATATGCCTCCCTTACCTCCTGTCGTGGATCGTAAATAAAAAGGAGGATCTTGGCGTAGGATCACCAACAGGAGTTAAAAAGTCACATTAATCCCATCATAAAGTGTAGAGTACCTATATATGTTATAAAAATTGTTCTATATAATTGTGTGATGCAGTTTATTTTCAAACAAGGGTAAATTCATGTCTTTTCAAGATCCATAAGCAGTTAAGAAAAGTTATTTACTAGTTTCCTCAACTGAAATCTATGTTTTCTAAAATAGTTTCTACATTAACGTATGTCTATATTGTAGTTGAACGCGCCTGAGACTGAGCAGTACGTGCAAGCCCCCTTTTGTATTAGATAAATTCTGAGATAATACAAATAAGAAATTATAAATATACAAATAAATACAATTAAATATTAGAGAAAGAAAAGGATTCATTACAACACACAAGAGTAATATGTCTTTATAAAAGTGGTTAAATCAAATATTATTTTTCACAAATTCAGTACGTATTTGTACAATTAAAAAGCCAATTAAAAGCCTCCGCTTTCAAATTGCACAATTTAATTCAACATGGCGCTGGTGTATCCGAGAAAACATCCTTCATCTATCCGTCTTTAGATTTAAGAGCGCGAGGGCATTTCCCAGCGGACGAGAATACAAGATTTCCCCATGCGCCTCACGCAATTAACGCTCTGCTACCTTTCACGCTCTCGGGAACTCTCTTTCCCCAGTTTTTTTTTGCCCTCACGCGATCCCTCGCCCCTCCCGTGCGACCCGAGCAGAAGGTCGCCCTTCGATGTGCGTACATTAGCGACAGCGTCGAACACGTCTCTTACACCTCAAGAGTGAGTTAAAGCAGCCTTTGCTGTTTGCAATGTTGAAACAAAGTTGTTGCTACTGTGGTGAGTTATCGTCGGCATTTACAATGAAATAATTATATGAGTCGTCATTGCCAACAATATTTTGTACAAATATTGCAAATAAATATATAATTATTTCGTTGAAAAAGGCCTATTGAATTTAGATATGGTCACTGGGAGATTTCATTACAGATAACATGAATAACTCACTTGCTGAAATCTCCTCGTTCTAAACTTTCTTTGGCCTTTATTAGATGAATATTCATTCACCATTTGTTTAGGAGTCGTTTGTGAATCATTTGGGAGTCGTTTGGGAGTCGTTGAGAGTCGTTTGGGAGCCGTTTAGGAGCCTTTCATAGTAATAGCCAGTTTGGGAGTCATAGTCGAGCCGTTCGGGATTTGTTTGGGAGCCGTCAATGGATTGCCATTCGTTCAATGATGGTTTTCAGCCCAACCAAAAATCGTTGTATGGAAATATTATCGAGGTATTGTATCCGTATCTTTGACTTCATTGCAAAGATGAATTCATTTTTTATAGTCAGTTAATACACTTAAAATTTATTGAGATGATATTGCAAAAGTGTGAACTGGGTAAACTATTACGTTTCCTATTCGAGAGACAGATTGAGTATATTATATTGAATTCCATTCCCGGCGGGACATCGTCTCTGCTGGGACACGTTCTAAACGCCCGATTATGGTAGTGAAATGTGTGTACTTGTGTGTAAGTGGAGAGGTTGGAATGAGGAAGGAAATTTCGCGTGCGGTCCATGACCTGTGTCATAAGATCTGCTCCGGCATTCCCATGGTATTATTCGAAAAAATGTACCGATCATAGCAACCGGCCGATTGAATTACCCTCCAGGAAGTGGGTGGATTCGATCCACCTAAGAAGCTAGAGTAATAAATCCACCACTGACTGGGATTTACTGCATGACGATTCTTCAGGTGCGACTATGTTTCCTCTGAGATATCGAGGCTGGCCGATTGATTGATATATTGTTTAGTGATTCCGGGCATTAGACTACCAGGGTCATTAATACCGGAAATAAGCTTTCTCGGGAAGTGGTGCTGATCTTTCCCCCACTGAATGGCGAGATCCGGCGCCGACCTACGTCGGCTAGCGGGGTTTTCTTCAACCAGGTATCTCCCTCCAGCGTGACACCACCCCAGCCGGGACACTCTTAGCTCCCGACGGGTCTCCCAGCACGTGTTGTAGTGTAGTGCATGTTAGTGTAAGTAAATGTGTAAGGAGTGAAAATAGGACAAGGAAGAGGTAAGATCGAGCGCAATCCGTGTTCCGTTTGTTATGGTACTGTTCCGGCATTCGCCTGGTGTTGATCGGAGAAACCACGGAAAACTACCAATTAGAGCAGCCGGCAGGTAGAATTCTCCTCCAGGCAGCAACTGAATTCGACCTAGCTATGTCGGAAATCCCGCCACCACCTTCGGGAGGGGAACCTAAGACCTCCCTGTCAGAGGGACTGCAGTGACATCAGTTGATGACCTGAGCCATCTCTCCCGGTCTGGTCGATCAGAACGGGGTAACCGGGAAATGTTCGCCCTAAACGTGAATATTCAGTCATACCACGCGTTTTAATTTTTCAAAAAATACTCAAAGACTGCGTCGAGCACCGAGAGGAACTTCCTTTATGAAAGATCATGCGCTTTTTCAATAAAATTCGAATCAAATTTTGAATGTACCATGAAGCTTTATCAACCTTTTGTGTATTTTATTAATGTTCATTATTTATTCAGGACCCGCGTACACAGTGACACAAGTTTGTCTAAAGTCTCGCTCTGACCGTGCATTGAATCATTATGTTCTGCAGGTTTTTCGCTTTTGTAACCGACTCTGTAGCCACTATCGAGGGAGAGGAATGACCTAGCTCTGCGGTGACTGGCCAGACAAATTTTACAACATGAACACTGAAATAAAATAGGGTCAGGCTTATAACCAATGAAGAAGTATCTTTGCTGCGAGAGTCGTTTTTCAGCTAACTTCCACAATGTGAAAGGAAAAGTCCTTTTACTCACGTCTTGTTACCTTGGGTTACAGACCACTAACCATTATTTCCAGTAAGTTATTACCAATTAAATGAAAATTTATACGGCATCATGTCCAGAATGCTCGTGCAGCACAAATTTGGTAAATCGATGTATAGGGCCGATTATGTTATTGCATTGTTTACAAAAAGTATTAAATCATGACAGTTGCCAAAGAATAGATATATTCAATTTTTTACTTTATTTTGGAGATCACTGTCTGAAAATAAACAAATGATAATTTTGGCTATCACGTGAAGTAAAAAGTCAAGGCTTCGTTACGTTATTTTGTCTATAGTACGCATAAGCTAAGGTCATTACTATATTTCATACTTATAATTGTTTCTGAAGGTCTCTGAAAATGATATAGCGCACAGCAGAAATGAATACTTAGCTGTCTGGAAGAAAATCGTTAACAAACGGAAAACATTTTAAGGGAGTTAAAGAGGTATTTAAAGATATTAGGGGTCAATATTTCTCGTAATAAAAATGTGTTGGAGGAGTCACGTTTCCTCTTTAATCGCTAGCAACTATCTCTGTGTTCCTATTCACACATCATGGTTTTTCCTGAAGCCATCGAACTGAAAAGTTCCGAGAGTGAATACTAAGCAGACTTTGTTAAAATTGGGCGGATTTGGAAAATGGGATAGTATTTATATTCGTAATACTGCCAGGGACGAATAAACGAATTTTTCGAAGAATGAACGCATTTTGTAAGGACCGTTCCTGCCAATAAATTAATAAGATCCACAAATTAAAGATACATCTCTCAAAACAGAAGATTTTGCAGCAATGGAATGATTGAAAAAAAAGTATTGATTACACAATTCATTTAAATTTCATTTGTAGTGAATTTTTGAAGTGAATTCTTAATCTAGTTTGAACTTTCTAAACGTGCACTAAAGATACACTGAATCTTAGACTATTGTGCTCATTTAAATAATGTAAAATATATAATTATCATATTAAAATATTTGTGGAATAAATATAACAAAACGCATTACATTTTGTACTTATGCGTTCTACTTGAATTACTACGTTTTGACCTGTTGCTTCTCACTCATTATTTTAAAATGATTAACACTTTTTAATCAAAGTTGAATTTTTTAAAGGATCGGCTGTAATGTCATTGGCTTTAACTTCATTGGGGGTTATACCGACTATGCCACTGTAACTTTATTGACCAATAGTTTCCAGGTTCAAGTATTTACACCAACATTTGGCAGGATTTCTGACAACAGCTAAATATATAGGACGAAAAAGACTACTCTCGAGATGAATGTTCTAGAAACTAGCTGCAAAGATCGGAGGAATTCTTGATTTCTTCCTATTCAATAGAGTCAGAACAGAACATTAAACAATTACCACGACCAGCACGCGATCCATCCTTCCTTATCCAGCTCTCATTTTCATTGCTGAAGCCATCGATAATTAAAACGTTAGTGTTGAGAGCACGTGGTAGAGCGCGCAGAATGCGACAACACCGCTCCTCCACACCCACACGCATTTCATTCGTACTATCGCTAGTTAGCTAGGTAGAATTCAGTCGCTGTCTGGGGGAGAATTCTATCGGCCGGCTTCTCTAATTAGTAGTTTTCCGTGATTTGTCAGATCAACACCAGGTGACTGCCATAGCAGTGCCCTAACAAATGGGCAACGGACCGCGCGCGAACATTCCTTCATTTTCCTTGTCCTATCCTCAACCCTTACTTACACACACTTACACTAACACACATGCTCTTCACTACCACACATGCCGGAAGACCGATCGGGAGCTCTAAGCTTGTTCCGGCTGTGGCGGTACCTCGCTGGTGGGAGATACCTGGTTGAGGAAAACCCCGCTAGCCGATGTGTAGGTGGGCACCGAATCTCACCATCCGGCGGGGGATAAAACACGCATTACACTAATTACTTAGCAGTTAACATGCCCGGAAACACTCATCATTTAAACCGAGAAATATTGGGTGAAAATGAAGTAGCTTTGGTCTAATTTTTAGCTTAAAAATGACAGGGAAGGGAAAAAATAAAGACAAGGAAGTTATAATCTTAGAATATCATCTTCTTAAGAAAACCATCAATCTGCATTAAAAATTTATCGAGGTAGTCATATTATAAAAAAAATAAAAATAATACAATTTTTAACCCATCAGAATAGTTTAAAATTAATAGTTTAATGACCATAGTTATAAAAACAGAATGTATTTAGTATCTCGTATTTTTTTCGATGCATTAAAAACTATGAGTAAAAAATACTCATAAATTTCTTTGCTTTTTACTTATATACATCTATATGCTCATATTTGAGAAATCAACCAAATTGCGACCATTTCGTCACCAAAAGAAGGAAAAATTGAAGTATTTTTGAGAATGAATGTCATTTTGTTATAAGTTAAGAAAATTAAAAGAAAATGAAATTAAATTTATTACATTGGTTAGAAAGAAAATCCAACAGCAGTATTTGTAAAATAACAATTTTGTAAATTCCATTGAATAAATTCAGAAAACGAAGATTATTAGCTATTTCCCATTATATAACATATTGCTTAAAATCATTAAATTTTTAATATGAAGAACAAAATAGCATACTTTAAAATTCAGTTGCTTGGTCTAATGGCCAGGACAGTTAACAAAGTTACAAAATATTAAAAAGACAGTTATTAAAGTAAATACATGTATATAAATGCAAATTATGTGTAGAACAATATTGTTTATGTTGTGAACCAAGATTCTACTTTTCCTTAAAATCTCAGTTCCCAGAACTTTACTAAACCCGGAGTCACAATGTTTATACGCGAAAACTATTATGTAACTGTACCTAGAAATGCAAATATGTTTTATGACGATTATCTTTATTATATTTTGTGAACCAATGTCCTCGGCTTTTACTTGCTGACCGGTATTTCATCGGGAGAGCATACACATCGAACAAGGTAATGATAACACTAATATGTAAATTAAAATTTTCTGATCATTGCATAATGTTTAGGGAGTGATCTTATATATTTCTGACATGCCGATTCCGGAACAGAATTCAGTTTTTCTCTATCACATCAGGTTGGTTTGCAAAATCAAAATGAAAATATGAGAAATATGAGTCACACACACAGGCAAGATTACAATTTGTTTTGTTTTAATATGTAAGATATGCTTCTTTCTTATTATTTTTACTCATTTAAACTACTATATTACACACTTATGAACATAACATAGAAATGTTTAATATATTGCTTATACAGATTTTAAGAAAAACAGCCAAATATATCAAATGGCTCAAAATGTATTGAGAATGGAAAGACTTCTGTTTCTATATTATAACTTCTTTACGTAGTGTAAGAAACTTCCTTGATTTTTCGCGTGTAAGCATGTTGTTGCAGAAAATCAAAGTTCCCTCTTTATAAAACAAAGTGTAAATTCTTGTTCGCAATCTATGTACTAGTAGTACGTCGTTCCTGATGCCAATGTGTTCCTTTAACGAAGTCTAGACCCTAGTATCTTGGCAGAATCCTTTGTAAGGCCATGATCTCGAACAAAAACATTTAATTCACTTTGCGTGAAAAGCTTCGATTCATTTTTAATGTCTGCAATCGAGAAACCAGTCACATTCAGATCCAGAATAGGGATTGTGTTTTAAATTTTCCGGGCTCAATGGGACTTTTATCATAACCACGAGGAAAGGGTATAATTGGTGAAAGAATATTGCCTGAAGGCACAATAATACTTTTGTTTCTGTTGTAAAATCCCTTCACTTTCACAGAAAAGAAGTTCAATAAGTACTGTGTTCTGTAGATTGTCGCCACACCATTGGAATTCCGATGGCAACGCTTTTCCGTCTCCGTTCATCCAATGTTGTAACTGCTCTATATACATGTTCTATAAGCCCTGTGTGATGCCTAGAGGTTGTCGTGGTCTCCTAGATTGATGCTGAAGTAGGCGTAGTAGGTCTTTATCAAGAAGTCGGTTATTTTGCGTTGCTGTCGTATCGGCACGAAACGTCCACACTCATAACGGTATGCATGCTACTATAATTTCAATAAAAATACAATTTTTTCTATTGAAATGTGTTACACACCATATGTCACCCATTAGATAAAACTTAAGAAGACCAAAATATCTTTTCACAAGCAAGCGAAACACACATCAGACTGGCGGAGAACCCACAACAAAATGTCTCCATTCAGCTAGACTTGTTGCATTGTACCGTTTTACCGGCTCTAAACTTGAGCCTATTGTACAAAATTGTCAAATGACTGCTGAACATTGATTTAATACATGAATCTGAAAATCTGAATGAAAACAACTCCACCAGCAGCTACATAAAAAGTGCATTAGTGCATGAATGTGATAAAACGTAATATGTGATTTTTAAAAAAATGTGATGAGATGTAGGAAAAATAACGTCAGATACTGATTCAGGATGCAAAAGTAATTCTAAATATCAATATAAGAAGTCGTCAATGAAACCATCGCAGGCCAGTGTAACCAAAGTACCAGCTAATTGATGCGTGTACCTTTGCATAATAACCGCGCGTAATCGGAATTAATGCCGGGAGGAATAAAACTCCATTGTGAGTAGAATGGTTCTCGACGCAACAGAGAAACTATCGTTAAATGTACAGTAAAATGGCGCGTCACGCATTCGCGATTAGTCTTAACACCGACGATCGACGATTCTTGCATTGTATGTAGCTCGTTTGCTAGCCCCAACTCACCATCGAAGTTTCGTTTCGAGGATCGATAGAGCCACCATTCCCATACGAGTATTCAATTCTGTTACATACATTCGTCCGTTACATAACTTGAACACCAAATGTTAATTAAATTTTATTCAATTTCAATTTTTTAAGTTATTTGTTTACAGAATTCTCCTATTACAAATTCAAATAACACAGTAACACACACAAATACAAATAGAACAGTAATTAATTTGATTTTAAACAATGTAACTAATTTTAAATGTTTATTATCATTGCGTCATTATTCTAATCATTCTTCGTAGTTTACTTCATTATACTGTCTTCATAATTAACTTCAATCATTTGAATAGTTGTTCTGTCTTCCAACCTTTGCAGAACTTAACGGATTTTTCAATCTGTAACTTTTACAGAAATTTTCAAAATAACGATTAATATATTGTTTCAGCCTTATGAAGTTTTCAATCTTGAAATTTGTTTTAAAGCAAACAATTGAGGGCAATAATACTGATCTGTTTTCTTTTCCCAGTCTCAATCGTTTTACCCGATAATGGTTCCATTCATGAAATATCTTATATATTATATATAATCTTAATATATTATATGTATACTATGTATACTTCAAGTTTAGATCTTTAAAAGATCATTCAAAGTTTTTCTTATTTAAAAAATTGAGTTGTTGAGTACTAATACTAAGATGAGGAAAAGTTACGTTATGACGCGCATTTTCACTACTTTATTTTCAAATAATATTGTATTTCTGTCTAATTATGTAATTTTTTATGACTAAAGCGTGAAATTGAGAATGAACTTGTATACAATTGAGAGAAGATGAAACATTGAATTGTTTTAAACCAATTTACATGTTCACTGATGTTTTATTTACGTTGACAGGAAAATTTCTATTCATATTAACTACTGTACCAGCATTTAGAGTAATTTAATAATGTATTACGCCTAGGGAGATCACTTATTGATGTGAAATTTAACTCGGTTAGCTTCTAACCAAGATGAGAAATCGGTGGAAATCTTGACATGACCATTTACTTCTTCTGACTACTGTGGTTACTGACACATCGAGACTTCATCAATATCTACGTACTTCCTATTTTCCCAACAGGTCCCAAATGTAACCATTGTCTGCTGCCCATGCAACCTCATGTGTGGAAGAAATCGTGACCGTCATCGCCTCGGGGCGCCACCATCCTGCATGTCATAATTCAAACGCGCACTATCCTTCCTGTGGTCCACAGGAGGCCGGAGGTAATCTCCAACCTCCAGAGGGGGAGGGGCCAGTGGGTCGTGTTGGGGGAGGGGGGCGGGTCAGCCACGGCGCCACACG